AATCTGACTATAAGAGTAGTCAAATACTATGAGAAAACGATTGCAAATCCTTTTTAACGTGAGCTCTGAATCAAGCCAACGATATGTGCAGCTGTGACGATAGATTCTGTCATCCAGCGATTGTATTGATACTTTAATGACATAAAGAAATGAACATAATGCAACTGAAACACGAAGAATGTAATTAAGTGATCGCATTAAATTCTACGCAACTCCACAGAATCAGATTTAAAAAATTGCCCGAAATTGTGATTGATATGGATATTCAATTATCAGTTCCTATCATACAGTGTGAAAATTAATGAAGTATTTGGAGTTTAGTTGATACGCCACAATGCAGTCGCGAGAACAATTGCTTGACAGTACCAAACGCGTATTGTGCTCGAGTTGATGACACGCATCAGTATTGCCAATGTATTACCGGCTTCGAAGGCGATGCTATTCCTGGAGGACCACCATGCATACGTAATCACTTATTACTAAGAAATTGATGTTAATAGTAATGACTACGCTGAAGTAGTAACAGTAATAGCAATATTCTTGTTGATGATAATCATGGGACAAATTGAAGGAATTGATTTCTGTGTGAAGGCATTACAAGCGCTTGACTTTGGTCAAGAGGTGTGTACGGCTAACGAAATTTGCGTCAACGATAAACTCAGATATCACTGTGAATGTAAGCCAGGTTTCGAACGTCTCAATCAAGGCGAGGATTGCACAGGTTAAGAGCATTCATCCCGCATTCATTCACTTATTGATCCTTCGGATCATTGATCAGTTTATTGATCTGATCACTGATCAGATCAGTTGACTTCGAAATCATGTACGGTACCTGATTAAGAAGCAATATTGGAAATTTTTGCACAAAAAGTGAACAATTATGCTATGCAAAGCAATTGAACAAATGTGAACAGAGTGGATAAAATTGGGTTTCTGTTGTCACGTATGAGAGGAATTACTCAACTTGATATAAACAATGAACAACCTGCAATGTATTGATAAAAGGAAGTAACTGAAAGAAGTGGACATAATGATCTGACCAATAAAAACAGATATTGACGAATGCTTGATTGGATTCGGACAATGTGGACTAACGTTTATATGTGTGAATACTATTGGAAGCTATTCGTGCCAATGTCCACCGGGTTATCTTCTGAATGCGAATGGAACTCTGTGTGTGGATATTGATGAATGCCTTCAAAACTTGAACAAGTTAGTTATGAGAAGTTTTCAATCTATCCAAAAGTTATCATTCCCCTACAGATTTCTAGGTCATATTTATTTCGTCTTAATCAATCGTCTTTGAGGTAGGATTGATTCCTAATGAATTCTAGTGAAACTTGTTGGAAAGGTTCACTTCTGAAGGTCAATATAGAATCGCTTGTATAATTCGTTGATCAATATGCAATCTTATGAAAGCCATTAGTTTCGTAATGAAGATTAGTGTTAGATTAGATTGGATTCAGAAGATTAATAATGTTAGACTATTTGGATTATTCATAATGCTGGATTCAGTTAGATTCAGTTTTCATTCACCAATAATGATAGTCGATGGATTTGTGAAATCTTTGCACATTAAACAGATTAAGGAACATTTTTGCAGTTGCACGCAACCATCACAACGCTGTATCAATTTACCGGGCAGTTTCCAGTGTGAGTGCAACTCACCAGCATTCATTAGCACTGTGAATGGATGTGTTGATAATGATGAATGCCTGAGTTATCAAGTCGGTTTTATATCTGATCCTTCATCCGCTTTCTCTAACGTTTCGCATTTGTCTTTATTGGTCATGCCATTAATAAGTTTCACTTGAACTAAATTGCAGTTCAACTGTCCAGAATACTCGACTTGTTTGAATACATTAGGCAGTTATAAGTGTGCGTGCGATCAAGGTTTTAGACCAGAAATCCGTGGCGATATTATTGTTCGATGTGTGGACATAAACGAATGTGAGGAACAACCTGATGGTATGTATAGTAGTTATCTGCTCAATACTCACTGATGGTGGCTTTTGCCGTGTCAATTTCTCAGACATATTTCGAAATTAATGCCGTTCTTTATGCTAATAGTTGATAAGAAACTGAAAGGTTAAGAATCGCCATAATGCTGAAAAGAGCGATGGTTTAATGCTAATGATAACGTGTCAATATGGAGAATCACATTAATATTGTTCAAGAGAGCAGAATATAATTCAAGAAATGCAATTTTTAAAGTCATATTAATGTTGTTCAAGACAAGAGAATATAATGTTTATGACTGCATCACTTTGATCACCTCAATTCCATCTTTGATCGCGATTTTCTCCAATTACATAGATCGACTTTATCGCTCACCGACTGTTTTCCAGGCGATTTGCTGCGCCTGGTTTTTCGTCTGCCTTATAGCCGTTCCCAATTCGGAAGGGAGTTTCCAATTGCCACCTTATTCACCTATTATCATTCGTCCCAGCCATTCGTCTCAGTCTCTTTACGTTCATGATGAATAAGGGCGATTGAATTCAGCTTGTCCTCGAAGTGCAAAATGTAAGAATCGCATTGGATCATACGAATGTGAGTGTATGCCTCCGTCGATTCAGCACGGTCTTCGTGATTGTGTTGTCAATACGTCGTGTCCGAACGAATGTAGCGAACATGCGTACTGCTTGAAGAGCGAACGACCTGACGGTGCTGTCTATAACTGTACCTGTGATGTGGGTTATGCCGGTGATGGAGCCATCGCATGTCTACGTATGTGCATTATTCATGCGAATCGTTGTTTCGATCAGCTTGTTTTAATCAGCAGCAAAATTTTCTT